TCTGCGCGTCGAGGTTCACAAAGTGGTGTATCTGCCAAGAACTCTGCGCGTCTAGGTTCACAAAGTGCTGTACCTGTCACATCTGCGCGTCGAGGTTCACAAAGTGCTGTACCTGTCACGAAATCTGCGCGTCGAGATTCACGAAGTGCTGTACCTGCCACGAAACCTGCCCGTCGAGGTGAAATCTCCAAATGAGCCATATCCCCAGAAGTCACAATTCACTGCACCTGTCACGAAATCAGAGCTTGTCGAAGATCACCACCATGTCCAAAGTACTGCGCCTGCCACGGAAACTACATCTCGAAATAAAACAGCTCCGATCCCTTGCGCCCGTCACGAAAAGTCGACCTTGGACCACGAAAGCACGAGGTTTCCCGTGCACTTGCCACGAAAAGTGACCACCACGTGTGAAAATGCGCGCGGCACCATAACCAGTCGCTAGAAGCACCCGCCGCGGCCACCCAGACTTTGCGAGCCTGCGCAGTCGAAATGCCCATCGACGATGTCGAGAGGCGTGAATGTACTGTAAATAGCAGCGAAATAGCCGGACACGCCCGCGCGGCACACCGATCTAAGCACACCTGCTTTTCACTCACCGTAAGAACCCCTAAGTGGGTCCACACTGTTTGGGGAAAAAATCAAAAGGTAGAGCAAACAGAAAAGCAACAAAATTTAGCTTTGCGTGTTTATCGTTATTTTTGTTTTTTCGCTTTATTTTCACATGTTTTCCGCCTTATTTTTGCAGGTTTTAGTGTTTTTTGTTTTTTCTGGTACCACTTCTGCACTTATGAAAACTTTTACCCGTCAGCAATATTTGCTGTACGCTCCTGGGAAAAAACGAAAAAACGAAACAAAATCAAAACAGAAGTGAACATAAAGGGAGAAAGAACGAAACAAAAGTGAAAAACCGTCAAACACGCGAACTCCATTTTTTTGCTATATTTTTTTGGTTTTATTTCCGCTTTTGTTTTTGCTTTTTGCTTTGTTCTTGCTTTTGTTTTGCATTATTGTTATTTTTTGTTTTTTCAAAACATTATTTGATGGTTGGTCATGTATGGCTGCCATTGCTCAACACAATGTACATCTGATGCTGTGGACAGGTATACTACGTCACAAAAATATAAAACATCATGTTCTTTTCTCAAGCTCCACTCTCCCTACAGCATGTGTTCGGCCCAGGCGAAGGCAAGAGTCAGTGGATCAAATTTGATGACGAGACTTGACTTGTGTTGACACGCTCGAACCGTTGCCGCAATTGAAATGGATTACCATTGCCACACTTGCCTGTTTGCGCAATCGTTCGTTCATGCCTGCATCCCCAAGGAGATGGTAACGTTTTGCAGTGAGCAGGCAGCTGTGGAAGACAACTATGGCGGTGAGGCATTGTTGAAGATGAAACATGTTTATATGACGACCCCATGCGAAACGTACAATTGGACAGTAAATGGGTGGTACTAGCATGTTTTTGGCACTCCGAGCCTGCCTGGGGAGAGGCTGGAAATGTTTTATGTATATATCGGATTCTCAGCTGTTTAAAGTATTTCCACAATACAGTATGTATCGTGTTCTTTGATGCGCAAGCTGTTTGACGTCACTGTATATCCGTTGATGTACGCGTCATGCGTGTCTTGCGTGTTGTGTTGCTGGGAGGGGTGGGGTGGGGAGGCCGGGATAATAATGCTCGTTCCGGTTGCTTTGCGACCGCAGGCTGTGGATGTGCACGTTCCAAAGCTGGGTTTGTTAATCCGGTCAGGAGTCAAGCGCGTGTAATCTTCTTGTCACTGTCGTTTTACAGGAGCGATTGTCTGGCGTCTGGTGGTCATGTTCAGTTTGTTGCTTGTGAGGCAACAGTGAGGCTTATGCGGATACAATGTTTTCCAATGGCAGTTCATTGCAAGCTTTGGGAGGAAGATACTATCTTATCTTGTTCTAGCAAGAAGTCCAAGGTTGGTCAAAGTAGCGAAAGTTCAACTCCATCATGGTCGATTTTCCGTATTCTGTTTGCTGCACACCATGGTGTGTGCCAGCCATGGGCATTTTGCGGAATGGATGCCTTCGCTCATCTGCTTGTCCAAAGTAAACAATATATTTATAATTGTGTTTTGCACATCCGTGCAACACCGCAACACCCTGTTTTGTTCTTTGATCCACTTGTAGGTTTTGCGAGCCTTTGTTCCGCACAGTTTTGTACATGCAAACTTTGTAAACCAAATGACCCGTTACAGGATCTGACTGTGGTGAACTACTTCAGTGCAGCTCCTGATGAAATCCGAGACCGTGATTCTTGGCCCTCCGTCTGTGGGCTCAGCAGAGCAAGTGCATCTGGAACTGTATGTGGCGGGAAGATGAGGGGGTTGAAGTTCCATGTAAGTGAACCAGCTTGGTTGATGACCCAAATTGGACTCAGCGCCCATGTCCTGCAGCTGATTCCTTGGAGATTGAGTTCTACAAAACTCTTCCTTGAAAAGCATTCTGCCTGCCTGACCAGGGCCAACGCATCCACAATGCCTACATGCTGTCCTATGTGCGTGTGGACCAGAAGGCCACTGCGGAACCCTGAAACACAAACTCTGAACTTAGTGCATTGAGGAGCTGCTGACGCCTCCTGTCCTTACCAGTGAGGACGGTGGCTGTCCTCCAGCGTCCAGTTTCAGCTGAGCAATTTGCGCTCCTTTTGTGTAGGCAGAATCTGCCTTGTCCACGCAGGACCCGAAGTACCGTGCTCTCATAGAAAGATGTACGCGGGAGGCTGGATTTGATTAAAACTTGACATGGATTGTATGAGTGAAGCGCCGCCCAAGCTTGGGCACCCATGAATGGCAGTTTCGCATGGTAGCAGAGCTCCGTCAATCCTTCGCGTGAGGGGCACACGCGAAGTGTGAGTGATCACGTGCGAGACTGTAGGGGCACTGTGAAGCTATGGCGGAGCCGACGAGTCCGGCACCGAACGCGTCACCAGAGCCAAGCTGGCCTGGAGTAAGCGTCCCTCCCAGTGCAAAGACGCCCGCAGCTCCCAAAACAATAGAAGCGCAAGTCCCAGAGAGAGCAACCAAAAACAAAGTGCCAGTTATGCGCGTCCGCTCAGGCAGCTTTTGTCGCACCGCGAGGTCTCCGCGTTGAAAATCGTAAAGAAATGTGGACAGCCACGATGCATTTCAATTGCAATCACTTTTGTGCCTCGGCGGTGGGCCTGCGGCTGGGGACGCGAGCCTTCGACCGGGCGCCGGCCACGTGTCCCGTGTCGATGCCTTCGGTTGGTAGCACCCTGCAACATAGGCCAACAACCCTGGCAACATAAGCCAACATACGGACAGGATGAGATAACACGGGCCAACATGTGGCAACATGGATATGGTGATGGATGTGAGGTCGTTTTCGAAGGCCCGTGGTGCGATATATGCTGACCGAGTGGTTTTGCATTATTAGCATTTTGTTCTTTAGCTGGGTCTCTGGCTCTTTTTCTGCTACCGGAGGAGAAGAGCACGGACTGGACATGTCCGAATACTATGTGTTTTACGGTGTTTTCGGGGTTGCGGAGAGAAGTGTTTGGAGTGGACGCGTGTCCGAAAACCATGTGTTTTACATAATTTTCGGGGTTGCGGAGAGAAGCATCTGGATTGAACCTGTGGGAAAACCATGTGTTTTACAGTGTTTGCGGGGCTCGAAGAGACTCGCCTGGATTGAACGTGTGCGAAAGCCATGCATTTTGGGATCCTTCCTGCCCCGGCCGGCGCCCGGCTGTCAGGCGTAAGCCTTTAAATCCGGGCGCCGGCCACCGCGCCAGTGACGAGCGCGCCCCCATGCCGCCAAGATTCCCGACGTCCGGTCGACGTCCGGTCGACCTCCCCCCCCCCGGCACCCTGACAGCATAGGCAACGGAGCCGGAAAACAGAGGTCAACGCACGCAGAAGATGACGCAACATGGGCCAACATGGCAACATGGATATGGTGATGGATGCGAGGTCGTTTTGGAAGGCACGTGGTGCGAGATATGCTGACCGAGTGGTTTTGCATTAATTATCCGCCGACCCCAGCCTAGCCGCAGCCTAGGCGGGAGGCGCCTGGGACACCGCAGGGTGCAACCTTGGCATTGGCATCTCCACCTTTGGGCTTTAGCGCAGGCCACAGCTAGCCTGTCCGAAGCCACGCAGCCTAGGCATGGCCTGGGCTGCCACGTACGGTGCTAGCAGCCAAGGCCAGCCTCTTCTTTTCTAGGCTTCCGAAGGCAACGGCCCCCCTACAAACCCCTCTCGGCGCCTCGCAGGGTACAACCTTGGCATTGGCATCTCGACCCTTGTGGGCGCTGCCACGTACGGTGCTAGTAGCCGAGGCCAGCATCTTCTTTTCTACGCTTCCGAAGGCAACGGCCCCCCTACAAACCCTTCTCGGCGCCTCGCAGGGTGCAGCTAGCCTGTCCGAAGCCACGCAGCCTAGGCATGGCCTCGGCTGCTACGTACGGTGCTAGCAGCCGAGGCCAGCCTCTTCTTTTCTAGGCTTCCGAAGGCAACGCCCCCCCTACAAACCCTTCTCGGCGCCTCGCAGGGTGCAACCTGTAGGCTTTAGCACAGGCCACAGCTAGCCTGTCCGAAGCCACGCAGCCTAGGCATGGCCTGGGCTGCTACGTACGGTGCTAGCAGCCGAGGCCAGCCTCTTCTTTTCTAGGCTTCCGAAGGCAACGGCCCCCCCTACAAAC